AGGAGAGGGGAGGGACACCTGAGGACAAAGATGTTAAGAGTTAAACTGCAAGGTTCGCTTGACTGTAAAATATACGGCACCTGAATTGCAGTGATAGAATATCCCGCAGCGAGTAAAAGTTACCCCAAAACATCGCTTTTCAAACGCTATCTTTTTTTGACCACCCGTGGAAGAAATGCGGACTGAAAGCAGCCTGTTATGTTGTTTTGAGATTCAAACACTCACCATTGTCTGTCAGTGTCTTGCTCATTTTGTGGTTATGGACATTTAAGCTAACATCGCCGCAACAACAATCGTCTGGCTCTGGGAATATGGAAGTCAAGTCTGACGTATCGGGCTTCTCCTTGGAAAATGTTCTCATGGCGTCATTACGTTCAAGCGTGCAAGCCAGAGAAACTCACGAGCAACTAGTTATGCAGTTCTCTGAATAAAATATTACGCCTGGCATGTGGAAAGTACAGGATGATAATATACTTTACATTTGTGATAAATGACAATGAACGAGCAGGGGCCGACATATAATTTATTCTCTTGGCTTATTTCTGTAGCTTGCTATAAAGTGAGTAGTCACCATATTAATCCACTAGATGGCAACATTTAACACGGGATAAACATTGAAGGGCTGACGTGATGTGGACTCTGAAATTGGTAGCCTCCTGCATTAAGTCAAATATTTCAGTTTATTCTATAAAAACCCTATTTAGAATCCTTGAGATAGAAGCATTGGTTTAATTCAGTCTTGGTATATTGATTTTTTTCTTCTTCTAATAAAACAATTTTGTTTATTAATATTAATATTGTCAAATATAGATGGATAGATACTTTATTGATCTCGAGGGAAATTCAAATGTAGTTTGGTCGAATGTGTTCAGAATCACAGACTCTAAAACTGAATTATTACTTGAATTACAAAATATTGCAATAAGCGAGTTTGAAGGAAATTCATAGAAGCAATATGAGAGATGCTCAATGGCTTATGACAAAAATGCCACATGAAAACAAAGTTGATCTATTATGTTATCTTTTTGAAACACACGAGGTCATCTGACCAGATTGGAGAAGGATGGGGTTATTTTTAGGAACCCAGAAGACTTAGACAGATTTGAGGTTTCATTGACTGTGCCTTGGATCACACAACATACCATGTGCTTTGTTACTGTTGGTTACATTGGCATTGGACACTTGTCATAATATTCAGCAACATATTGAGGCGGTGAAAGACAGACAGTGGAGAACATGAAAAGACAGGCACGAATGAATTATAACAGAGAAGCAAAGCGAGCAGTCATCTGTTTACAGTTTTCTGATGCTGTAGTCATAAGCACCTTTCCACAATCCTGAGGGTGAGTGACAGTACTCTATGAACATCTCTGTTGGCTTTAGTGGCTGAGCAGAATTATATTCACAGTGACTATTAATGTCAAGAGGGAAAGTTGTCCATGTGCAAAAACAGTTTATAAAAGCAAGTGGATACATCTCTATCTCGGACTGACATTTTTCTTTCGCTGAGTCCGTGTGTGATGTCTTTTTAAAGTGAATACATTACCCTTTCTCTTCTGAAGTGTTGCAGTCTGAGACCTTTTATGTAATCCCGTCACATTACACTGCTGCCCGTCATGAGGAAGATTGAGCTTAACGCTGAAGGTGGAGCCAAGAACCGCATAAAAAAAAAAGACTTGTAAAGAATCCCTCTCCTTACAGATTATAATTGCGTAACTATCAGTCACATTTTCCCCACGCCCCATATGAAAAGCGGGAAAGGAGAGGCGCTGCACTTTTACCATCTAATTAATTCTCATTTAGATAGTGTCAAGAAAAAGATGGTAGTGTAAGGAAATGTGGTAGTGTAAGAAAATGTGGTAGTGTGCATGTGTGTAAGTATGAGGGAGAAACGACAGATAATATTCAGAGAGAGGATGACAGATGGGAAGAGACAGAGAGATACGGGGAGAATGGAAACAGCCGATTTGTAGTGACAGGCTGCTCAGTCTGAAATCTCAAGATTTGAAACCAGTCTAAACCACAATCCCAAACATCCAAGTAACAACACTGTCAACTCTCTTAGGAGCCAAAGTGCCACAAAATGTTTCTTTACTTGATATGTATTCAAATAAATGTTAGCTCTTAGTGGTACATGGAAAAATAACATTTACTGAGGCTCATGGCAACAACACTATGAGCTAACATCCATCAGATGTGAGTCACTCATGGAGGATTGGCAAAATGCTTCTTAGCAGCTTTGGGTGAGCTTACAGTGTGAGTTTAAGTTTATTTATGACAGTTTGTAACATGTGTCAGGTTACGCTGACAACCACATGAACGTAGACTTTTGGAGGCCAGCACTAATCCGAGGATTGTGTGCTGAATTAGTCAAAGTTCAACCAAGAAAATCCTTTAAATGAACTCCCAAACAAACAAAACATTAGCCATTCATTACATCTAATCAAATGTTTATTTTCTTTAAGGCAGGAAGCGTGAGGCAGCTAATGATTTTTTTGGTCGAAAGCTGTGCCAATTGCATCCGACCAGATCTGACCTTAAGTAATGGATTCTTGTTGTTGTAAAAGTAAAAAAAAAAAAAAAAAAAACTTTAAATCTGAGTACAATTTTAATAAAGTCCAATGGAACTGAAAACTGAGGACCTATATTTAGAACCAAATATATAATCTTTATTTGAATGTTGGATGATTGAAGGTTGGCTCCTGAGTGTTAGATTGGTACTCTTACACCTGTTTCTCGTGTCAAAATGGCCACTTTAAGTCTCTAAAGGCCATATTATCTGTCCAATTAAGTAATGCATATTCTGCCCTCCCTCACATATTAACTAAAGTGATACACCGTGCACTGATCAGAACTGCCTGTAACTGCAGTTACATAACCAAGTTGCCACATGCGACTGTTGTTTCTTTCCCTCTACAAACGACCTGCCTTTTAGCTTTATCTGATTCCTGCAAGAAATATTCAAAAGAAAAGTGAAGCAACAGTGGTGTCAAGCTTAAACATGTATGTAGGCCCATATAAGTCAACACACTCTGGAGTCAATTCAGAATTTAGACTTTACAGCAAGTTCCTTTAATTTAAGATCATGTTAGGATAATTAAAGTCCTTTAGGTCGAATAATGTGCGATGATGGGAGTCAAAATATGGAGGTTTGTAACAGAGCATGTTCTGGCATGTTTTTTGAACTTCATCATATTCGAATGCAAAAGAGTGAAGCTTTGCACTAAAAAGAGGCAACATGAGGGCAGCTGCCTGCTGCATTGCACCGTGGTGGGAGTAAATCAAGTGCTTCTGTCCCTCATTTTGGAGAGGGCTTTGATGTCACTGGAATAAGCTCCAGCTCATTGAAGTATCAAAGTTAGACCCCCCCCCCCCCAGCCCACAACTGTCCACTGCTTGGGAGGAAACATGTGATTGGAAAGCCCAGGAGTCAGTTATCTTTTTCCATGATTAACGCCTCATTTACCGGCTATTAATGTTATCAATTATCCCCAAAATGTGCTCAGTGACTGCAGGGATCAAGCAAGTGGCTATGTGGATTTTGTGATGTAAAGAAGAAGAATATTTAATGTTTTCATTTCACTTTAGGCTGAGCTCTCTCTCTCTTTTTTATTTGAAGTATTCAGTATTCTCTGATCGCTGATTTACGTCCCTTTGCTGTGCTTCTTTCCTTTGATTCTATTTCTCTGGGCTCTTGTCTTTTTCATGCCCAGATTAGACAAATGTTATGTTTGCTTCTGCTTCTGTTGTCTCTTGCATGACAAGTTATCTTTTTTAAAATCTCACTCAGTATTTGACCTCATCTTCTTTAGCATCAGTGCAGTGACGTCATTTGTGGAAATTGCATGGTATTCATAGTGTGCATGTGACCTGCATCAGGTCATTGTTTTCAACCTGCAAATGATTCCTACATGTCTCATATGTCACACAAAAGCATATTTCTCATATGCCCTCCCCTAACCACACACACACTTTTTTATAATTAAATAGTTCAACCATTTAACCAAAATGAGCACATGTATCACTAACATGGTAACACACATTGTTGCTTTTATTAAATAATAACTTCACTCAGTTTTGGCTCAAGTCAGCGTCTAGAATGACCTGCCTCAGTGAACCAGCTTAACTACATATTGACCAATATTTGACCCCTTTTTTGGACAGGCCATCACTAATTTATCTCAATTTTAACTGTTGCCTATACCTTTTTTATTTAAATTAATTCAATTCAAAAAGCTGTATTTGTCCCTCAGGGCAGTGCAAAGGCATGAAGAGCAGTAGCACAAAAGACAAAAATAAGTAACAGGACAGTGCAATGTAGACAAAAAAACGAGACTTTAAATACTATATTCCATTCAAAATAAATAAAGTAGACTAAAGATACAAGTGGGCATTGATAGGACTAACAGCGAGAGACAAATGTAAACAGAGCTGTATGCAAGTAGACACATATTGAGTGAGTTAAGTGATAATAGTGCAATGGAGAACAATAATACAAACGGGAAATAAATATGTAACCAGAGTTGTATACGACATAGAAAAAATGAAGCGATAAGAATGCTAATAAGACCTAACAAGAAGCAGAAGGTGGTTAAGATGCAAATAGATAATGTGTAAAGTGGTTCACAGATTAGAGAGTGTTATTCAATGAGATAAGATTATTTCTCATTTAAGTCCCTTTACTAGACAAAACGTGTTACTTAGACAAAAGCACATCATCATTTTTCTGTTTTTGTAAATACTACCCTTTTCTGTAGGCTTATATTTATTACCAATTTCTATTTTAACCTTAGTTAACCTCAGTTTTTTTTGTCTCCCTACAGAAGGGGGTCATATAATGTAACCGGCTTAAAAAAAAAAAAGAGTTATTTGAATCCTTTCATAAGACGAGCAATTTTTCCTCCGTCCTTGCACACTGGCCTATTAGAGGAGCGCACAGAGCAGCCAATCAGAGGCGCCCACTGCTTAGCTCCACTAATCGTGGATTAGCTACAACCGACTGCAGTCCACAGCTTTGGGAGGGAGAGGTACTCACAGCCATTCACTACTCATCATCCTCTGTTTTATTATTAGCTCACTTGGATCTGGCAGCAGCAGGAGGACTCTTGTGCGCAAATATCGGGATCTCAGGTGAAGGTGTGTGTTTGGGGGGGGGGGAGGACATCGCTGGTTTCGGCGCGATGGAAGCTGCTTATGTGGGTCAGGTAGGACTCAATTGATTGCTCGTCCCTTTAATTTAAACCCCACACCGTCGTAACGCCGCGCACTGCTGCTGCTGCTGCTGCTGAAGCTCTTGCTCCATTTTTTTTCTTTCCGCGCACCAAATGTACAAGACGAGCAATTACCCCGCCGTGGACCCCGCGCCCACCATCATGCACGGCACCTGGTTCTCCACGGGCTGCCGAGGAAACACGGCCGTGGCGGTGGAGAAACCGAAGAAAAAGGCGTTCAGCCTGGTCAAAATCATGTCTCTGAGCAACAAGAAAGGGCACGGCCAGCATCCGCACCACCACCACAACAACAACAACAACATGCCCTTTACGATCCACTGTCACATCGGGAAAGAGATAAAGCACATTTGCAGCAATTGCAGCCGCGGGAACGAGACGCAAGACGGTGAGTGTGGGAGCTCGATCCCTGCGGGGGTGGGGGGGGGGGGTTTATCGCCCATGTAGTAGCCCCTGCGGTAGGATAGCATCCAGGATCCAATCCTCATTGTCTTTTGAGATGTCCATGCATGTTTGCTCATGTAACCCCACCAGTCGTTCCTTTCAGTCAATGTGCTTTGTGACTCCTTCTTGTGTCTGCATGTGTGCTGATGTTCTGTATTAAAAGTAGCTCAGCGTTCACCTTTAAACACCAGTGATTCATTGTTGCTGTTGTGGAAACTGCCGCTGACTGGATCAGAACTTCTCTCTAGGTTTGGCTCTGACTTCAATTCCTTCTTGTTGGTTTTCATTACAAATATAACGCAACGTAAGCCAGGTTTATTTCTTATGATTTAAGTCTTTTTTTGTGTGTGTGTGTGTGTGTGTGAATAAAATGGCAGAAAAGGGTGCAAGCATTTTGCACAAAGCCCCTTTCCTAGTTCAGTGTCATTACATCATCACTCAGCCATCTTGGTATGCAAACAAGTGTTTTTAATTAAAAACCAGCAACACCAGTGTGTTTTGTGTTACAGAGTGGATCATGTAGGTTATTGGCATGCAACACCAAAATGCAAGACGGAATAGAAATGTGTGTGTGTGTGTGTGTGTGCGCCTGCCTGGCTCTGCTCACCTGCCTTGAAAACACCACCATATTTAAATCACTCTCTTTAAGATATTCGGGAGAGGATTTTCCTTCCCCACTCTTACTTTGCAGATTTGCAGCTTGTTTCTTCTCTGCTAGAATTTATTTATTTTTTTGCCAAGATTGTAATTAAATGTGTCGTTTTCATTTAAACTGAAGACATTCACATCCTGTGTTTTCTTCTTCAAGTGGTTCAGTAAAAAGGTTGTAGAAGAGCTGGGTCCATTATGGCAACAAAGACAACCACACACACTCGCACAAAAAAAAACGACATGTGTCTAAATAATATGTTGTGGATTTGTAGCAAACCATTTTTTATTTTGGTGTTGCGCATCATTAAATCACACAGTTTAGAGCTGGTTGTTACTCGTCTCCTCGGCGTTACTCACTTCCTGTCTACATCCAGCTTCTGTAGCTCTAATGAAGTCATTTGAATCTCTTACCTGATTCGATTAGCATTGACTCTGGAGCTATTTATAGAGCACCGTGGTGTCAGGATTGCTAAGATGGTTGGCTCTGGGGCGACAGAGCGCTGAAGTGATGGTCCATGTGGGACTGCTTTCCACTGCATTACTGTCACATTATTTATCATGGCAGACCCCATTACCCCGGGGAGACGACTGGTCTGCAAACTGATATGTCAGTGTTGGCAAACAAGCCTGAATGTGATGTAATTATCGCAAGACAAACTACCGGCACATTCCCTGTCAGCATATCACTGCTAATGATGATGATGATGTGATGCAATGTGGTGACACTGACAACTGACAGGACACGCAGTGTTAGAGGTCACCACATGTATTGACACTCTGGTATGTTGTTGCACATCCACCCAGGAAAAGTGTGGCTTTTTTTTTTTTTTTTGATTGTGCTCCTTTTTCCAGTAGGTATTGTATGCTTGTACCTTAAGGATTTTAAAGTTGTTGTTTTTTTACTTTGTAGCAGATCAAAAATATTTGTTACCCCCTTACAATCATTTTGGAGAAACATGAGGTGGTTAAACTTTAGTTATTTTTTGCTTCTATAGGGGATACATCTTTTTTTTTCTTAAACACTTCCAATGCGTGACTATGCTGTCATTGCATGTGCAAATGATGATGTATACGTGTGTCAAAAATAGGCAAGCAAGTCTTGTGTCTATTTTTATAACAGAATGGAGATGAAGGGAAGTGGACGGCAGCCTACAGAGTGCAGACTTTCACTTTAAACGTATGATCAGTCCAAGTCATGCATTGTGAGACATTGTAACTGTTGCTGATGTGTAAATGAAACAAATAAAACAAGTGCAACAAAAATAAAAGTAAGCAAGTATAGGGTCTTTGCAAAAAAAATGAAGGGAATTGAACGGCTACCTAGGAAGGATAATCTTGAAATTATTGTGAAACATCGTTAAGATCCCCTCTTGTGCTGAAAAGAATTGACTGAGTCGAGGCACGTGTCTTTGTTTACAATACAGAAAAAGACGACTTTATTGTCTCTTAATATTCCTGTGTTCATTTATTGTGAAAAAACATCAGTTCAGTAGCATCAGTTCAAGTCTTTCAAACTTTGCTTTTGTTGCAAGTGCTAATAATGATGCTAGTAAGGTTTATGCAAGCAGATGTTTTATACATTATAAAAATGAAAGGAAGTGAGAAGCTGCATTGAAGTCAGAAGAGCAGGACATTTTTATGTGTCCTGTTGTGAAATGAATTCAAGTTTCGACTGAATGAATGAGGCAGGACATGTTACGTTGTTTTATTTGCTTCAGATTTTTTTGCGTCCAGTTGCTAGTTTAGTAATATAAGATCAGTTCAAAAGCTGGTTATTCAGTTAGAATCCGAGATGTGGGGTTGGAGCTGGGGGATATTGTTATGTAATCCCAGTTTGTGTTAACCCTGGTGTCTTGTTTTCTTGTAATTGGAGCTGTTTGTAGCCGTTGATTGCAGCATCTTTCAAACATAACACACACTCGTTTTATTTCATTATTTGTTTGTGTTCGACTAAATTGCTGAGCATCGGTTGCTTTTGATGTTGAACAGTACGTGACAGTGGAAAGGGCCAGGCCTTGTGAATATTTGATGAGGAGTAGAAAGATTTTCCCCTTAATGAGGTGCTTATTATCAGTCTGTTTGGTGTGTTTTTGGCAACGCTAACGCCGAGCGCTCAGTGATGCAGCCTCGAACTGTTTAGACTCCGTGCGTGATGCTGTCTGATACATGCAGGTTTGTTTATCCTCTCCACACCTCATCCAGTTACGAGGGGATTCAGAAGGCCACTTGGCACAGGTTTCCTGCTGCTTGGCTCTTTGTAAGCAGAAATGTCTGCTGCACTCTCTGCTAGCTGTCCTGCATGATTACCACAAATATCACCTCCTCTGCATCCTCACCTAAACTAGACCCTGTGTGTGTGTTTTTTTTTGTCTTCCTCCAAACAGCTGAGGAAGTAGAGAGGCTGGCCGCCATGCGCTCCGAGTCTTTGATCTCTGGCACCCACACTCCACCCATTCGCCGCCGCAGCAAGTTTGCCACTCTGGGGCGCCTCCTCAAGCCCTGGAAATGGAGGAAGAAGAAGAGTGAGAAGTTCAAGCAGACCTCTGCTGGTATGTGACATTTCTTTTTGGTGATTCTACAGTGTGTTAATTCAGTCACATAAAACACATGAAGGTGCACTTTTGGATCATAAACAAAAAAAGGTTTCTATTATTTTACACCCTGTGTTCTTGTGGGGAGAATTCCAGTGTACCTCCTTTTGCAAAAGGAAAGAAAAATGTAAGAAGTTTCAGTCTCCGGGGTGATTGTAAATGCAGCAAATTGATTCAACAAAAGCGTTGGAGTTTCATGTTTTGAGGTCTCTCTTTTGGAGCTGCTTTGATCTCGCAGCACAGTGTTGTCAGGGGCGAGTGAAGGACACGCTCTCTTCAGATGCGGCTGTATTTATTTTTGCTTGGCTGACACATCCTGAATTGTTCTGTCAGCCTGTTGGACAGGAGGAGACACTTTGTCAAGACTGCGTCTTGTGGGTTTGGAGGAGAGAATAAAAAAAAAATCTTCCTTAAAAGAGAAGATGAGCAATCGCACGGGGACCTGAATCCGGTCTGAGCAGGACAGGATGTTAATAAATTAGCATTTTCCAGGTGTGAAGTTGCTGAATGAATCAGTCTTTTCCTGCTTTGATCAAGCCTCTGCGACTGCCTCGGCGCTCTTTCAAGTGTCTATCTTGCTTTAGTGCGATGTCTTGTTGTCTCCATCACTTTCACAAGCATAAAACATGTATTTGAATTTTAGGTTTATATAAGCCTTAAGCAAAGCTCTGACTTTTATTGTTCCTAGACCAGAGTATTTATAGAATTTTATTTTTCTTCACACAAGCGACGACAGATTTTTAAGCTTTAAGTATTCGATTTTTTCCAATGTTTTAATGTATTTAAAATGAGAGTTTGAAGCAGCTATGGGAATGTTTTCTGTCTGCTGGTACATTCAGTGATAACAGAGCCTCCCCAGTTGTGTTGAAGGACAATAATCAAAAGCTGAACAACAAAAAGCCCTTTTTTCATGCTACAATGGTGTTAATGCGCAGTGGAGTTTGATGAAAAAGCTCTCTTCATCGCTTTTGTTATCCACTTGTTTTGTATGCATAACGCTGCTGTCTCTAAAAAAAAAAAAAAAAGTATTTTTTCCACTATTGTTCTATTCAATCCTCTTTTGACGGTGGATTATTACCAGAATTTCTAGCTTTTTTTTTTGATGGGCCTCTAAGTAAAATGTTTTGCATTGTTTCAAGCTGTAGGCGGTGTGCAAACTTGCAAGTAGCTCTTATGCTTAGGCAGGTTTCTCTGATGCTAATGCTGCTGCACACAAACTGTCACTTTCAATATCAGGGAGAAGTGTGAAGCCAACTTTAAAGCCCCCAAAACAAAGGGGGAGCGTGGCCCGCACTTGTGCAGCAAGAGGTGGAACACAGGCAGTCAGAAGAAGGAGCCGATGTAGTGATTTAGAATGACAGGAAATGGCTCGCGGTGTTTGAACTGTAGTAGTCAAATCATTCCACTTAAATGGAGATTTAAAGAACGATTAAATGAATGTATACGAAACAGATTAAGATTAAGCACGTGTAATTTATGTGCCAGATACTTCCCTTCTAACTTGGTGTAAACCTAACATGAGCAAGAAAAAAAAAGATTTCTCTTTGGGCTTTTTGTGCCTTTTATTTTGTAGAGATCAGAGAGTGGGGAATGACATGCGGGAAATGAGCCGCAGATCGGATTTGAACCATGGGCCGCCCGCTTCGAGGACTGCAGCCTCTGAACATGGAATCCTGACTCCAAACAAAGGCCAATGTTCTGTGTCTGTTATTATGCAGCAGGTAGCCTTCTTAAGTTAGCCCTGTTAGCATGTCACTACCTTAGTTTCCACAATTTCCCAGTTTGGGATCCATACAGTTCATTTTATCTAAAGATGGTTACACAATCATATAAGTTTGATGTTCATCTTTCTTTTGCTCAGTGGGCTAAATAGTTTTAAATTCAGCATACATTTCTTCAGTCTTGTTCACACACAGCCCAGTAAAGCTATTGTTTCACTGGTCATGAAATACACTGAAATGAATTCTAATGCCTTTATGTGACCTGATGAAAAAAAAATAGAAATGAAAGCCATCGGTGACAAGATTGTTTTTTTCTATATTGTTATTAATGTTTGAAAGAGCTGTTGTGTGATAGATTTAGTAATCTACTGCATGCTATCAGAACATCCTTTTCTTACATTTGTCATGGCTTTAAAGATCTTTCAATAACTGATAAGTCTGAATGTTAATAGAAAGCAGGATGAGATTTCAGTGTTAAAAACAACACATTTCTGAAGGTCTGCACGTCATATTATCTGTGTAAAGTTGGTTTTTTAGAGGTTAGTGTGCGCTCTCTTATATCAAGTTCTCCTGCTGAAGTGCTCCCATTGCTAAGTATAGGATAATGTATTTAATTCAGTGGTTAAACAAGCACTAGGCCTGGTTTCAGAGGTGTGCGTACGAAAATCAAACAAAAAGGCCGATCTTGTGACTGAAAGAATGAAACCGATTCTTCATAGAGATGTGTCCCTGAGTTGTTAATTATCAGTCCTTTACCAAGAAGAAACTTCTTTTTGTCTTTTTGTGATTGCAATTTGTGCCATCTCTCTTTTGGCCCCTGAGAATCCTGGTTTAGTTGCCAGAGGGCTGGACGACACGCTCCCTGCCATAACACCATTACAGTGACCACAAAACTATAATTAAGTATGGCCATTGATATCATGTTATGAGTATGATGATTGTGATGATCGTGAGGATAATCATAGTTATTCCAATAAGTCTTACCTCCCTTTTTATTTTTCTCTGTATTTGTAGGTCATTGTTTTCTCTCAACCCTTTCCACCCAAGACTCTCTCTCAACAAACACATGCACACTCTAGTGGATTTTGTTCTTCTTGCAATTAAAAAAAAAAAGAAGACATAGCTAAATCGAAAATTCTGTTCACCGCATCCAGAAAACGTTTGACCTGAAGCCCCAATTTTGATTGGTACGTTTAAAGGGGAGCATTGCTCTTACTTCCTGATTTGCCCTCATTGGATTTTAAATCACTAATATGACAGCCTATTTGTTGGGATGACCTTTTTTTTTTTTTTTTTAAGATGTAAGAAATCTTGATACAATAATTAAAATGCTGTAATGTTTAAATATTTATTTTGGGTCTTTTAATGCATTTAGAAGAGAGACAGAACAGTGGATAGAGTCAGAAATCAGGGAAAGAGAGGAAGGTGAATGGCATGCGAGAAAGGGGCCACAGGTTGGATTTGAACCCCATGGCCACCGCACATGGGGCGTTCGCACTAACCACTATGCTACTGGCACCCCCTACACAATGCGTTGTACTGAGTCATTTGACACCTGTTGCTTAAACATACAGGGGGAAATGTGTTGTAAGGTAGCACTTCACATTCATGTCATTAGACACACACTAGATTGTAATTGTATAGACATCTTTCCTGCTGCTCTGCTATGGTCTTGGCCTCTCCTGTCTTGTTGTCTCTGCAGTCGTCTGTGATGTCTTACTGTTGATGATGTTTCTTGTGACAGTAGGGAGCCGAGCAGCCACTGGGCGTGCAGATGCCGTGGTAGATAATTGGACAGTGAGCACAGTAGACGATTCCATATGTGTTGTTATATAAAGCAGAGGACGGCCAGCTCTGGGGGTCTGTTGTCCTCACCTCAGGAAGGGAGAAAGGAGGGGGAGGTTTCTGACTGTTGGATGTCTGATCATCACGCCATCCTATCATGCCCAGCGTGCTTGTATCACACAGACATCTCACTAGAGAGATTCATCAAAAGAGCATTCATGTGTTTGTCTGTCATTTTTATTTTTGGGGGGGGGGGGGGGTTATTTTTGTTTCAATCCAATTAGTTAGATTTCCTTAAGGACGGCAGACATCTGACACACAACTGTTGGTGTTTATTAGCGTAACTTTTACTCAAAAAGACAGACTAAAAAAACAAAACAAATGTCACATTCGAAGCCAACTATTTCTGTCTATCAGTCACTCATTTAGCTGTATCCAAGCTTCTGATGTTTGAGCCTGAACGCCTCAGCTTTTCATTGATAAAAGATTCCATGAAAGTTGGACAGTTTTTTGTGTGTGTGTGTGTGCGTGAGGCTCAGGCAAAGAGAATCGCCTCTGTAAAAGCCTCCACTTTGAGCTACTGAGCCGCGGGACTGGTAGGATGTGTTCTGACTATCTGGGTCACTGCGCAGTGGAATATATTTTCTCTCAAAAAAACTAAGTGTAGCGTTCTCATATCAATACAGGCTACACTCAGATATGCCAGTTTCATTTAATATGCTCTCAGCAGAGTCTCCCTGATGAGTGTATAATCTTCTCATCCTGCTGCAGATTGAGTGGGGGGGGTGGGTGGGGGGGAGTATTGGACACCACTTGGGTAATGGTTGAGTGTCCGAAATAGAGCTTGATTGATATGCAAGGTTACTTGGAGGACAGTTTTTGCTTATTGGGTTTTTGTGTTTCTTTGGTAATTCAAGGGCTATGTTTACCGAATGTCTCTCAACACTATACATATGCACATGTCAGTCACACTTCTTTTAAATCAGTTGATCATTTTTACTCTTATTAAAGATCAAAGTGAGATATGTGGTGTGAGTGGCAGTTTTTGATCCACACTCTGTTTTTTTTGTCTTTCTCTCAGAGGGTCCTCCTCCTGATGAAATGAACATGAAATTCCCCTTCTCGCACGCCATTAATGTATTCATTAAATATTGAACGTTATGTCGTGTTTTGCGAGAACAGAACAGCCACTTTTTTTTTAACTCCCGTCACGATGCGCGGCTTCAGATCGCTGACCGTTTTGTTCAAATCAAATCTCACAATTCCTCCTTCTTCTTTTTGTGCTTCAATCAATATCTTCCAATTCTGAAGGCATATCCTTACAAAGACTTTGAGCTGATGGTGTTACATAAAATGTACACATGCTGTACACATCCCTTGGCATTGCAGAATTATGTCATAAAGCTTTGAGTAATTACATTTCATTTTAGATGAATCAGCAGTGTATAATCCCCGAACTTAGCCTATTACAACATTGCCGTCATAGCGCCGCTCTTTAGCTCAGGGGTTTTCCCATTTAGTTGATTATTATACAGATGTGTAACATTGGTGAACAGTGTGAGTATTAACGAAAAGAATAATCAATATAAAAAAAATTAAAACTTGAATAACAGTAACATTTGAGACTAATTAAAGTTGACTCCATGCAAGACAAGTTTTAGATGTCAGAAATGATTGTCTTAATAGACCTTGTAATTAAATTCATGTTATATTTTGACCACAGAACAGATGTTTCATTTAGACCACAGGAGACTGTTGTGGAAAAGGGGTATATATAATATGTCCTCTTTACATTAAATTATAAAGCTCTTGTCACAGTTGGTATTCACCCAAAAATAAACAGAATGCTTACAACAAGGACCAATTTGGCATTGACTTAAAGCTTAAAATAAGCAGTTCATAATAGCATAGCTTAGCATAGCAGCCTTTTTTGGGGTGAAAAACAGAGAGTGGTGGGAATTGCTTAGATAACTGTATCAAACAAGTCAGGATAACAATATATTTCTGTAATTATATTTTGCCCCAGTTTAATTAGACTCCTAGTTTAGAAAAGGTTTCTTTTTCTTCACTTTAAACTCTTCTCAGTGGATTTTGGGTCAACTCTTTGAGTCTGTTTACGCCTCTCTCGATGCACTTGACCTAAAGATACATCTGCTGCCTCTGGGGGGGATTTTTTTTTTCTTCTGATGGAGCTGACAGCATTAGCATCTGAAGTAGCACCACATGGTAACATTTCCTGTCATTTCACACCCTTAAATGTACCGCTTTGTAGGGCCTCAGTGAAGAGGATTCTTTTGTGTGACGCACTGGTGATATTTTGGTCCCATATTCATCCCCCCCCCACCCAGAATGTTTCGCTACTGAACTGATTGATTGGCTTTGAGCTGATCTTAAACAGGCCTCTCCTCAAAGACCTCTGAAGTATGAAGTGATATTGAACATCTGGGATCCTGAAGGAAGTCATAATGAAGCGTACTCTTTGATGATAACTTGCTCTGCTGTATTTTATAACACTGAAGCACTGAATATCCAAATTTCATCCCTAAAGGCCTCCCCGTCTGACATTTGTACCACTCTCATTTGTGTTCTTTAATTTTAGACTCTCAGCAGTTGGATTTTAAATCCACTGTGTTCTGACCAAAGGCAAGGAAAATCGAGGTCAAGCTGTCAGTATTTAAATGAATCCACGCTGAGGATGTATTAGCATTGAGAACAGCGCCCTCTGATAGAGTTGGGACAAAACTCCTGGGTCGTTTGAAAAGCACACATGGCACAATCCGTGATCTTCCTTCTTAAGAAAAGAGCTACAGAAGCCCGCGGGGATTGTTTCTGCGGCATGTTCTCAAGTATCATTGCTAATATTTATTTCACAGTCTTCGCTGGTTCCTATGCAGGGGTTTGATTTTGGAGGTACTCTTGATGATTTTTTTTTTCATTCACCATGCTGATAGAAGATGCTAAGTGCCTCGACTTCTTAAAGCTATAAATAGAAGCAAGCATTAGCTAAGGGACATGCTTCCCTGTGCATAATGCATTACTATGAGAAGTGTTGTTGGAATATCTGCACCATCTTTTATCTCTTGTCTTAATCCAGACCCAGTTTTTTAGCTTCAGATGTTCAGACGAGAAGTCACAGTTTCACAGATTGCCAAACAACAAAATCACAAGTTGAAAAACTGATTTCTCTCTAGGCGGAATGTGCAGAACTCTGTTTTTTGATTTGGTAAATGTTCACAATATATGTCAATATATTACAAATAAAGATTTCTAAAGCGAGACCAACTCTAGTCTTTAGATATAGATGAGTAATTCAGTAAAAATAATAAACATAAATAGTTTGGTGGTAACGTTTTTTCCCCCCTATGTGTGTGCATTTAGTGACATGTTACCTCGTCACAATGAAGAGGGGCACTGTAGTTTGTTTTGAGTAACTTGATGTGCTTCACTGGAGCAAATACATGTATACAAAAACATGGAATTCAAACATAAAGACGAGCACAAACAAGCAGATACGTGTGTTAGTTTGTCTTTTCATTGGATTTGTTGGATTGGTACAACAAGAAAACTCCTCAATGTCTGCCTTTTATTTGACGTTTTGTTCAGATACCATCTTTCCAATCCTTTATGGTTTTGTGTGTTTCACCAACATATTTTTGGTAAATGTATTTGCCATTTTTTTATTTTTTTTTTATTGAAAGGTTAATTTGATTTATCTGAAAATCCATTAGAACATTATTCTCCTTTCTCCCCTCAGCGTTGGAGAGGAAGATGTCAATGCGACAGAGCAGAGATGAGCTGATCAAGAGAGGGGTGCTGAAAGAGATCTTTGAAAAAGGTGAGCTGCTAGTTCTTCATTCATGGTCTGATTTAACAGAGCTGGAAACTGTCTCCGTTTTTAAGTAGAATCTGCATAAAGGGGTGGACATGGTGCTCTAAATTGGAAGGTCTTTAGTTATACATCTCCTCATTAATCAGGAGTCTGTGAAGTGCACTCTTCTGCAGATTTGGCACAGGGCATCGAGAGATATAATCTTTCATTATAGAAATTTGGTAAGGTTTTTGTAAACTCTTTGATCTTGATTTGATGTGCCTCAGACACAGAGATTCAAAGCTGGAGAGTGTATTTCAGTCTGACAGCAGGGTGCTCCATGCCTCGGGACATCAAAAAACAAAGTTGGTGAAACTGGAAAAAGTCCATTGACTCTTGCCAACATGTGAACAGGGCAAATGAGGATTTTATTGTTGTGCACCGATTGAGCTCTTTGGACCATGATCAAAACAAGAAAACACTCTCTGGTTGATGTCAAAGCTAGCACAAATGTCTGACCATCTAAATTAAGTTAAATACAAATAGGGATCATGTATTAATAGAATGCGACAAAGTAGGAATATATTTTAGCTGGATTGCGATAATGGTTAAACCTTCTGCAGTTATTGATGGCTGTTGGCTGGATTTGAATCAGCTTTAACTGCTCTACATCTTTGACGGTCACCCTGTGTACCTGGATTTAGTGTGGCACCAATGAGCCAAACCAATCACTTGGCAGTGTTGACTTTAAGGACGCAGCGTCGGCAAATGCAGTGGTTGAATTCAAAGAAAGCTCTGTTGTCATGGAGGTCCTTTAAAAGAGTCACTGAAAACTCTCTGAGAGTTGAAAAGTATTGGGATTAACTTAACCTCTCCAAATCACACAGTAGTAAGCGTTCATTTTTTTTTTTTTTTATTGCTCCCAATACAAGTGCATTCTTTGTCAGACACATGTCAGCAGTGTCGTGAATTGTCAGCCCTAAAATGTGATCATGCGAAAACCATCAAAAGGCTCAGCGCTGTAAAATAATTTCAAAAAGCAAAAGTTCTGTCAGACTTCATGGCTGACACTGTTTCCTTGGTCTGGTTTTTGCTGATAAAAGGCTCCTGGGTCGTTTTCCAGTCTCAGCTCCTGAATCCCCTCCTCCCATTGTCTCGTAACGTAACATCCAGAGTTCATTTTTAACTTTGTTTCTGCACTCTTCTTTGGAAATGTCTCTGTTTTTATGCAGTCAAACACATTCCAGACTCCTGTCAAAATGTCATTTTTCTTCCGTTTAGCAACCATTGAGTTCCGATCCTCCATGGACGGCGGAGTCTGCACTCAGGAGCCCCATATTAAATCCTCTATGGTCCTGCCCAGCAAGAAAACTGTCACCTACGCTGGTGACCTTCAGGATACCCCCATCAAGCCTCCGCTGTATCATAAACAGCCCCCTGCCCTCCCTCCAAAGCCTTTCTCTAGGATCCCAAACCATAGCACAGGTCAGTGCTCGTACTTACTGCTGTAATCAAATCTTTTTTTTTTTTTTATTACCTCAGACTTTCAAAATTGTGAAATTCTCCCACTAAGTATTTGTCTATTTAATTAATCTTAACTGCTATTGATCTAAACTGTACCTGAGTTGACACACATGTGTACAGGATTATGATAGTCTCATTTAATTCCCCCTGGTGATACGTAGGTCATCTTGGCCTTCTCTGTCATTGTCAATCTGTCATTTGAAGGAAAGTAGCATTACCCTGGCCTAATTCCCACCACAGTTTGCTGATGTCTGAGCCATGTCTGATTATCAATGAGCTCTGTTTATCTGTCTGCACCAGCAAAGTGTAGTGAAAGCAACATTGCACACTATTAAACTGTTGTTTTTTTCTCTCTCTAGATTCTTGCCAGCCAATGAAGTTGCCCTGTATGCCTGGGGGAAAGCACTCTCCACCTCTGCCCCCAAAGAAAGTTATGATTTGTATGCCTCAAGGGGGGCTGGACTCCTCCTCCCCTTCTCCATCCCCAAATCCCCTAAGCGCTCTGTCCGAAAAGTGCGCCCCTTCTCAGAGAATGTCCCTCCACCACGGCAACTTGCTGCCATCTCAGTTCGCTGGCTTATCCAGTCTTCACCAGAGCCACGGTCACCCACTCCAGCTACAGTACGGCAGCTTGCACGCTCCCAGCCGCATCATTGAGGAGCTCAATAAAACCCTGGCGCTCTCAATGCAAAGGTTTGAAAGGTTAGTAGCCATCAGTCCTAAGGTCTTTAAATCTGATTGTCCTTCAGTAAAGGCATGGAGGGATTACAGATCAGCCTCTCATTGTCTGTCTGTCTCTATATCCCACATAATATCTTGGTTGGATTTGGACAAAACTGATTTGAACGCTGCAAAATGTGTTGATGTTTCATGTATTCAAAAACATCACAAATCAAATTTTTAGCATAATCCAAATGGAATACTGTATTTACGTGGCGGCCATTTTCCTTTGATGTCATGCTCAAGGTGTGACGCTCTTATGCTGTTGTAAATGGTAAATGGACTTGAGCTTATCAAGTGCTTTACACAATTTGTAAAAACTACTTGTTCCAAGTTTTCAGCTGAATAAATGCTAAATATCGAAACATTTAAATGGAAGTGCTTTTCAATTATAAGCAATTTCAAAAATGCAAAGTCTTGAGGGGCATCAGCTCATATTATGGCAAAACATTTTGAAACCTGTTAGCTACTGTCAGTCAACAGCTAACGCTAGCAAACATTACATTAGCTTGGAAGTAAACTCCTAGCTAACATAGCTTAGACGGTACACATTTCTTTTTATATTGTTTAACACATCAGAGTAATATTAGCTTTCAGCTACTAACAAGCTAAACCTTATACAATCTAGTATTCTTGACTAAATGCTAATTTTAGCTGTTTTCAGTTTTGCATGTTTTTTTTAAATCTATTTAAAATATGAGTTGATTTTCCGTCCAGATTTTCACTATTAACTTGTTTAACACAAGATTATGACTTGATAAATATCCTAAACGTTTTATTTAACCACCCATTGAAGGGAGGAATCAGTTTGGGTATCCCCCTAATATCAGTGACATTGAGAGTAGGCCTATACAGTATATTTTTAGATGATAAATGTTTTATATGAATTACATCCTTTAACACTGAAGTAGGAATTAAAGGGGGTTGAGCTTCTCATCCTGAGAAGAACAACAGAGAAAATGGTCAATTAAATTCCTCACCACGGACATTAATTATGAAAGTCACATTTCCGTATTAACGGACAGTAAAGTGTTGTTTTTTCTCATTTCCCTGAGCTTAGCCGATTAACATCAAATTCATCAATTGTGAGCAAAAGCTGTTGCCAAAACAGCACTAAGCAGAGTTATCAATGACAAAAAAGTATAATTAGCCTTGTGCAGCCTGTTTATTAGTTTTGTGTTTTCAGCTACTTGTCACACTTAAAAATGTCCCGTTCTTATTGAGGTCGCATCCTGCCACGCTGCACCGTTGTACAGGTCTAAATAAGCACACTGCCTCACAGGGTAACATGGCCTAATTTTGAAGTAACTGTGTGTATGTGTGGGCACAGGCTCATGGAGTAGGCGTCCCTCCAGCAGTTTGCCTGACATAACATGACCAGCTGCTCTTTACAAGAGCTGTATTTCTTCATGTTTGGAGAAAAGGGACAGGATAGTGGATTGGACATTATGTAACCTCCTTCATTCTGAGCTCTTTTTCACCAAAGCCATTTGGGTAGGGATAAGGAAATAATGGCCCTGACATTGCTCACAATTAGTCTGAAAGCTTGAAAATGGTTACATAACAGTAGCTTATCATCATAAGGAGCTCAAGCTAGACTGTGATCCATTAATCAGTCATATAATTCACTGGTTAATGTTTGCATTTAATGTCTGTTGAGAGTGAAGTTTATTTCTGTCACCTTGTTTTGAATTATACATGTTGTGTAATCGGTTACTCTTTCCCTCTGTGTAGTTCAGAGGGTTGCATTGCATTGCGTAGGACTTCAAAAAATGTTTTTCTTGCGGTGTATTCAGGCTCTGTGTACTCCAGTTTCATTCAGATGGTGTTTTATATCTCCTCTTCCTCTATAGTTGGATTAAAATCCCACTAAGCCATCATTAGACTATGTACCAGAGGCCCCTTTATTGTTTTAAATCACTTCTGTTATATGCACTAAGAAGGTTTTGGAGGATTGAGGTAATACTTCATGTCATACACAATATATCCTTTTTGAAAAAAAAAGATGATGTAAGGCTCAGCTTAGGATGTGAGGTTTTTTGATGTAAACTGTATTGCCTTAACTGTTTGTGGTGAGGTCAGGCTCATCTTCTTAACAAGGCCAAATGGTATGGCTTAGGGCTGATCAATGAGTTGGAATGGAATCATTATCACAATATCAGCTTTTGCAATAAACCCATTGCAAAAGCCTGGATTTATTGCAATAAAAAACATGTTTTAAAGAAGAACATTTCTCTCATTCAGAATGTGAATGTTTGATGGATGCCCATGTTTAATGTCCATGCTTCAGCAACATGTTGATGCTTTCAGAGCAAGATCCAGCTAACTCTCATCTAACCTCAGTTTAATTGGTGCCATTTTGTGGTTTAAAAACACTAACATGATTAACTTGATTTTTCTATTGAAACTATTAAAATCATTGCACATCGTACAATTTTCTATCATGATGCAGGTATAATATGTACACTTGAGTCAGACTGTATTTGTTTGATTTTCTGTATTATTCATATATATTTATCCCAGATAGAATGACCGAATGCATCTCGTTTTCCTTCCATCAGCTCTGCATTGCACGGTGGCGGTCATTGTATTCAATTGGACCGAAGGGAAGTGCCGTCTGTGATCATCGACTATGAGGACGACAAGGAGAACATGCCCAACGAGTCCGACTACGAAGATCTGCCCAGCATGTACAAGGACGAGGACGACGACGTGGATGATGACGAGGACGACGATGAAGACGATGACTCCATATTTACAAGTGAGGGGCAGCTGGTTGCACACATTCAGATGAAGTGTATTTATTGACAATTAAAAATTAGAAGCATGTGTTAAGTTCACAAAGAGGAACCGTATGAGAAAATGGCCATCATACACCGCCATGAACATTTTAGAATGATGGGTATGTAAAAAAAGCGTTAGCATTTTTAGCCTTAAAAAGTCACAACCAAAAGTAACTAAGGAATAAATTGTCACCCGGACCCTTTTTCAATCTTTCTACATATTAGTTAAATAGGATCCAATAAACAGAGGCATGAAGCAGATGAAAATTACGGAACACATGAATGTCAGTGTAGAGGTTTGAGTTGTGAAGACAAAGGTTAATTTTTGAGTCAATGGATTTTGTCTCTTTTTATCTCTAAATGTATAAACAGAGACCTGTAATCTGTCTTTCTTTGGATTCTCCAGATCTATCTGTAGCAAGACGTTAAAACCTAAGACACAGAATAGTGTGCTCTGGCAGAAGAGCTGTCTTTGTCTGTTTTGGTGCTGAGGATCATGTTTACAGATATGATGACACATTCGCTTGACTCATCCTGATCGACAGACAAACAGTAGTGCTAGCTTCACTCGGAGGCTCCTGGAACTTGGATGTGGTTTGACCTTCAAAACTGGGCCAAAATGAAGTTCACAGAAGTGTATCCAGAAGCATGCTGTAATCCATGGAAACATTATACTGGACACTGCTTGGCAAAAACTGCTGAAGTGTGAAAAGCTGTCCTTTTCTATGTCCCTTTTTTTTTTTTTTTTTTTTTTACATGATAGCATATGAAGTTTTTTTTTTTTAAGGTGGTGATTGGCCATGTGTGATGGAATTGTTCAATATGCCACCTCATAATTTTAAGCAGCTTTAGAAGTACGAGTAATATTTAAAGTCACAGGGATCTTGATTGAGAAGATTGTTTTTTAAATCTGTGTGTATGTGTTAACATTGAAAGAACAGTGCCAAGTATTCAAATTACATTTAATATTAGTCAATATGTCTTGATTTAAATTATAACAATGGTATTTCAATCTTATCAAAATCAATCAATCTTTATTATTTATTTATTGCACCAATTCATAACACATTTTGTCAGGAGACACTAAGGCTGTACTCTTTTTATTTTTTTTAGAATAAAAAAGATATATTGGGCCATTTTTGCCGTATTTTGATAGGACAGCTGAATAGAGACAGGAAATGTTTGGAGGAGAGAGTGGGGGATGACATGCAGCAAAGGGCAGAGGTCGGATTTGAACCCACAGCCACTGCAACGAGCACTATAGCCTCTGTACGTGGGGTTCACGACATAACCACTAGGCTACCTGCAGCCCAAATAATCGTACTCTTTGATATATTATATTTTAAATGACTATTATTTACAAAGAACCAACAATAATCCACCATGACACAGCAGTAAGCAGCATTTGGCTACAGTGTGGCAGAAACCTCAAGATGAACCAGACTCATGTTGAACAGTAATCTGCAGAAGAAAGAGAGAGATGGATAGAGAAAAACAGAGCAACAAGAAACCGAAAAAAAAGAACAATGAATAAGATTTATAGCTACAATGTTGGTAATGATGGTAAAAGTAGGTGTAGTATTCGCAGTAACTGCTAAGTGCGATAATCTACTGATCAGTCTAATATTAACAATACTAACTGTAATGATGATACAGGGAGAAAGGATTGTGTTAATTATATAAGTTGAAGTTGAGCTGCTCTAAGATTCACTTTATTATTTATAGTAATGGTCATAGATGTAAGGCAGATATTAATAGTTGTAGCAGTCTGGGAGGAGGGGGGCGTTTAAGGATTTAGTGTTTGAAAAATGCTAGTGAATTGAAAATTGTCCACTTCATTATGAACAAACACACTTTTGAGTTTTATTTAAATGCATATCTTTAATTGTGCAGTCTAAATTCAAGATATGATAAGTACATTTCAATAAAAAAAACTACAGTTGAAAAAGCAGAAAAAACATCCAAAAAGGTTTTGGGTAAATGATGCCTACTTTTTTTTCTCCGGCTTGTTGTCCTGTAATGTTTGATTATGATGTTTGTGTTTAGGTACCCTGGCTCAGAAGGTGCTGAGGAAAGACTCTTTGGCCATCAAGCTGAGTAACCGTCCATCCAAAAGAGAGCTGGAGGAGAAAAACATCCTGCCCATGCAGACTGATGAGGAGAGGCTGGAGTCCAGGCAGCAGATAGGCACCAAGCTCACTAGGTGAGACACGTTGCACGGCGCATACATGCATTTTTCTAAAAGCAGACCAGAAAACATTTACACACATGCACAATTGATGGGCCAAATATTTTCAGAAAGTCTGGTTGATGGCTGCCATTGCCAACTCAACAATAGCTGCTGGAACATAGCGTCTTTTTTTTCTCAGCGTAACTGAGCGTTTTCTCTTGCGTACTGTGAGCCGGCGGTGGCCTGTTTTCCTGGATGATAGAACGGCGGCTTAGTCAAAATCGGACACTTTTTTTTCTCTCAAATCACTTTAATATCCTTTAATTTCTTCCTTCTCAACATCCGATAAGGAGAACCGCTTTATCTCGTTAAAGTGAGGTGCTGAAAATGGAGCTGACCTAATTTCAGCAATGCATCACACCCCCCCCCCCCCTTCTCGCCATTCTCTTTTCTCTTCTGTTGTCATCTCTGTATCTCTCTCTCTCTCTACTCTTTCTTCCTCCTGCCTGACTTCCTCCCTCGCTGACTGAATCACCACGGTGATGCATGTGCCAAGCTATCTCCACCCAACTCCTCCACACAGCAGAACCACGCAAGCCACTTCATACCAGCAGAATACACACACAAAGCACTGTACGGCGGTACAGCGCATCCAAACAGGACTCACAGGACTTTGTATACATATGTTCACAACATGAATGTGAGCTATTCTTACTGAGCACATCAAATGACATCATGGTTTTTTTCTTCCCCCACAACTGATCGGAGGCCTAATTTTGTGTTTACTCGGTGCTTTGAACACGACTTCCCTGTCTGCATGAAGGGGATGTAATGATGTAATGATATAGGACAGGGCTGACAAGCATAAGGTTAAAACAATGAAGGCCTGGAAAGTTGATGTTGGAAATATGGTTGCAGGAGAATGGATGCAGTGTTATCAAGAGATTTTGGCACTCAAGCGTCTATTCCCCACTGTGATTGGAACACAGCGCGTGTTCCCAGAAGGCCTGCCTGCTTAGTTGTCATCTCACCAAAAAGCTCTGTCACAGTGTCCTTTGCACAGTGTCATCTGATGATTTTATGCCAGGAGCCGTGTGGCCTTCATTGTCAGAATTGATAAAGATATTGTCTTTTCGGGACACCTCGACCTACCTATTTAGGAAACCTTTTTATCTGTGTTCTTAAAACGTAACATCAGAGATTCAGTTTATACGCCGAGGTTCTTCTACAGCTTTTGATCATGTCACATGATCTTCATCAGCAGATGGATGTTGCCCAAAATAGAGCTGCATGATTGGACCCAAAAAAATAATAATCCTATTTTCGCTTTTTTTGACAGATATAACGATTGTAATATGATTTATTATTAGCATGAAAGTTAATTAAAACTTCCATCTTTGGCTTTTTATTTTTGATTGCACGCTTCAATATGTTGAAATGTAATTCCTGCCTCTAGAAATTTGACATTTGCTGACAAGGAGGGATTTTCCTTCTTGCTGTGAGTTACTTAAATGACAAATAGAGCTCTAATAACTGTCAGTTAAATATGAATCTAAGGCCAGGACAGGTAGCCTAGCTTAGCATGAAAATCTATTTAAAAAAAAAAGGGGGAGATGGCTTGTAAAAAAAATCTGCCTAGAATCCTCTAAACGATGAACACAGTGTATGTTGTTTGCTTAATCCGAGCATGTAATGGTTTTACAATGAGTCATGTGCTAGACTTGTCTTGGCTGGGCGTTTTGAACTCCTGGAATCTTGTTTTCATTGTGAGGCTTCATGGAAACCAGCAGAGACCACAAAAACAGCAACGAGAGAGTGGAGCTTACATATTTAATAACTGCTGTTCAACAAATACCTCTCAAAGGGACAAGAAACAACAAAAAGTTCAGTTTAAATTTGCCCCCAATTTTACATTTTGTTGATGCAGCTAAAAAAATAGATTTTTTTGAAGCTATTAACACAACTTAGCGATATTATTGATATATATATATATATATATTGTTCTAGTAACAGTTGTCTATGCGGGCATAATTTAGAACTTAGCTTTTCTATGGAGATACGTTTCTGGGACATGGGTTGGTAAGTTTTATAGGGCGTGAGGCGGCTGTGGATCAGGTGGTAGAGTCGCTCGTCTCAAATCTGGAAGGCTGTTTGTTTGATCCCCAGCTCCTGCAGACGCATGTCCAATGTGTCTTGGGCAAGACACTTAACCCCAAGTTGCTCCCACTGCTTCGTCTTCAGTGTGTGACTTTGTAAGAATGGATTAGTAATTTCTGTGGACACTGTACATACAGTAGCAGCCTCTGCCATCAATGTGTGAATGGGTAGGTGTGACCTGCAGTGAAAAAAAGCAGAAGAATAGAAAAGCGCTACACAAGCTCAAGTCCACTCACCATAACCATGTACAAATATAAGCTCTCTTTTGAATTATATTAAGAGTCCTTAAACCACCTCCATTTATTTTTAACTTAGCATGGGATGGCCTCACTGTTATGTTGAGCGGCTCATGGACTGTAGTCCTTCTCGCAGTGGGTTTGAATCCGACCAAATGATTTGGGTTTTTTTTATCATGAGGGACACATTTTACATAGCAAACAGTCATTTTAACATTTGTAAGACTCAAACAACCTATTAGTGGAGCTTAGAAATGATTATGTTTTTATCCAGTTGATTAAACATTGTGTAACTCTTTATATAACCACACTATACTTGTTTCTCTCGTATTAATATTGCACAGCACATGCACTAATTTAATGAAGGTTCTGCTTTTTAAAAAGCTGGCCGGTATAGAGACTGCATAGAAGGAAGCGTCCATGTAGATGTGTGTTTTCTAGTCGGTGCATGTTTGTTTACAGCAGCTGCACTCTTGTCAGCATGATGCTGATATAATGCTCAGGCCATACTGGGGGGCGGAGAGCTGTACTTTGAGATTTGGTGTCTTGACTTTTCCCTCAAGTGGAAGAAAGAGGGGACACAGGATGAGATTAGAAAGGCCAATCTCAGCAAACAGATCTCATCCTGTGTACAGTAGGTTACAGGGTTGAGCAGATCCAGATTGCTGTCAGATCCGAAGAGATGAAAACCATCATTGATCAAGTCCTATGCTTTTTTCTTGCCAGGCGCTTGAGTCAGAGACCAACAGCGGAGGAGCTGGAACAGAGGAACATCCTCAAACGTGAGTGACTTTAACTTTAATATATAACATCATCATTTAAGTAACTTGTGTGTAAACAATTAAACAAAAACTTCATAGTTTAAAAACAGCCAGAAACATTGCCCAGTGAGTTCATCATAGAAGCGCAAGACCATATTGGCATGCAACCTTCACACAGTGCAGCAGTGGTGATTTGAGAGGCCCAGTTCTGTGAAAGCTTGTGGCATACATCTCTCACTTTTCTTTTTTTTTTTTTTTTTTTTTATTCCTCCTTGGGCTGCTTTTTCATCTGCGGCAAGCAGGCAGCAGGCCTCCCAGAGGAGTCCTGTCCAGGGAGACTGCTTTCTTAGCTCAAACACAGACGGTGTCAGAGAGAAGCAGTTCTGTTGCCTGGGACTTTGCAGCACTCACATCAAAGGCTGATTTACCAACAAGTTCCTGCTCTCCTAGAGGCTCCTATGTGATTGGCAGAGCACAGGAGGAAAAAAAAAACAAAGTCTGAGGAATTTTGAGTGACTATTCAAGTCTTCCCTATCACTCACACGTACATACAGTAGCAAGGTTAAAACAAACAGGGCCTTGTTGTCTGGAGAGAGATACTGCCGGGAATCTAAAAATACGAGTAGTACTACAGATACAGTACATGTTACACACAATCACAGATGCCGTGTGAGTGCAGAAGCCTTTTGCTAACAGGAAGCATTGTCCCAATATGCACCTTGTTTACTCGTGTTTCATGTGTTCCTCTGTGCTGGGGGGAATAAATGACTTTTAATGTGTTGAACAATGCATGGATGAGTTTTTGGGGAGACGCAAGTAAGCGAAAGTAATCAGCATTTCAGACTTGTAAAATTCTTAAATAGGTTAATCACTTGATTGCAAACATGGAAAAAAAAAAAGCCCTGGGACAACTTGAAGAAAAGAACAAAGCGATCTTTTTTTCCCCTGATACCCATTCCTAATAGTATTAAACAGCCAATGATGGAAACTATTTTAGGCGTTAAGAAACTTATCCAGTTTTAGTGCACATCTAATGAGCCATATTATGCAAAAGAGTTGTTTTTTTCCCCCTTTCAGAAATGTCTTAATATTTTACATGCAGTCCACTGTTTGTATGTGCATGTAGTCATCTTTTCATTCTCTGCAGCTCGCAATGAGCAAGAGGAGATGGAGGAAAAGAGGGAGATCAAGCGAAGGCTAACACGAAAGGTGAGTCCTAATTTTAGCACCAAACATGCTTACCCATGCTCCATCTCTGACAATGTCGAGGGGGGGCGGGGGGGCACAAACACTGTGACTGTGACTCGTGTGTGGAGAAGTGAGAATCTTGCACGTTACAGGCCCTTTGTATTGTAGTTCTCAGGTCTGCCCCAGGGTACACTGATGTCCTTGTTGCCCTTGGCCCCTTTAGCAAGTTGGCTGCCAAATCCTTGGACCCCATGGGGGAGGTGTTGAGCGTGTTCCTAACACTTCCTTTTAGATTACAACACATTCTCCTCTCTTGCTGACATGCTACTCAAAACAAAAAAAAATATCACAGCAAGGAATGCACGTGTACGTCTTTTCTTTTTTGTGTACACTAAAGTCACTTTAAAGCTTTTCCAAAATGTATATCCAGCATGGAACAGTGCACAGCAGGTAACCAATTTGCAATTTTGTAACTTTATCAAAATCCCTTTCCTAACAAATACACACACACACACACACACACACACACACAGATACACAATTACATGTGCAAAAACAGTGTACAAGTGTTGATCAGAATCGCTTGGTTTGGAAAGTTTTCCTGCTCTGATGTATGAAACCCCAAATTCTCTCAGTTTTAATTTCATATGGACACATTTCACTTGTCTTATTAGGGATTCTGTTAACAATTTTGATCAGGATAAGTTAAGGGAAGATTTAGCTGGATAGAAAAAAAAAAAGTTTTCTCTGATGGACACATTCTGTGATGGTGTCACTGTTTCTACAAATAACCACTGGTATTCATATACTGCAGTGTCTTTTCATTTTGTCACAGAGGTTTTGCCAGAACTTACATATTCAATAGAAGCACTGATTCAATAAATGTCCTGAATGCCACAGCAGTGAGATATTGAACTCTGATGCACCTGCTAAAGATATACTGGATCTGCAAGTCTTGTTTCCTAATCCATCTATAATGACTTTAATATATGCAAATCCTGACGAGCTGCTAACCGTGACAGTGACTATTAATACTTTGCCCACTTTTCTCTTGTCTAACTCTTTTTTTTTCCCCCCTTCTTCTGCTATTTTAGCTCAGCCAGAGGCCAACTGTAGAAGAGCTGAGACAGGCCAAGATTCTCATCCGGTTCAGTGACTACGTGGAGGTATCGGATGCCCAGGACTACGACAGGCGGGCGGATAAGCCCTGGACCCGGCTAACAGCCGCTGACAAGGCCAGTATCACTCCCCTAATCTAACAGTCAAATTGAAATAATCTTTTAATAATCTCAAAAGCCATCCTTGCCAGCTTCAAAATTCCTTCAAAAGCCATCCCCTTCCCCCTTCTGCATTTGATATGACGTAACCTGTGAAGCAGGAGAGTAACTATAGGAGGATGTGTTCCCGACTCTTTGTCAAAACAAGTTCCACCTGAACTGTTTTGCTTCCTGTTTGTGAGTAAAAAAAAAAAAAAAAAAAAAAAAGCCTGGAGCCGTCCTGCTGCTCACTGCCCAGCGGCCCAAGCCTCTGACTTTTAATGAGTTCTTGGTTTTCCAGAGCTGCGATGCTGTTTCCTATGCTTTGATGATGCAGAGTTCTGAACACACCTGAGAAGCACTCATGTGGAAATCACAGGGATTCAGCGTTTTGATTATGCAACAGCTCCCCCTTACATAAGAGAGTAATCGGACGAGCAGAGCCTCAGGACCCCTCCGCTGCAGAACAACTCTGCCAATATATATTTTTTTCCTTGCTTCTACAGTTGTGAACAGATTTGAATATTGTTTGCTCTCCTGCCGCAGAACATTTTCCCCCAAGGCTGGAGATGCCCCCCTTGAGTCATTCTAAATGGCATAAACAAATGACATCACCTGGCTGTGCTGCTGACACGCATTACATGCTTGAGGGGATGAAAGGTTATTAAAAACAACAGAGTACACTTTTTAATTTAATGGAACTTTGACTCATCCTAACTTCCAATATCTCTGCAATCATTCGGCCTTTGGGAAAGGCACTCACTACTCACAGACATGATTCACTGGGCATGGTCCCAAACATGAATGTGTATGACATCATGAATGGAAAGGAGCTTTACTTTGTGCTCCAAAGACCGTCCCAGAAAAAAAAAGAAAGATGGTTAGATTAAAAGTTTTGTTAACCATTAAATGCATCCATGGAATCTTTTGAGTATATTAAAATGAATTCATGTAATTTAAATAATCACTGAACTGCCTGTTTTCTCCAAACTATTGGTTTTTAACAATGCTGTTGGATCAAAATGTCTGATATAAGATGAGCTTCCATCTTCTGTTAAAATGCTAACAATTAGCTTGATGCAAGTGACAGCAGGCATGTTGTGTGTCTCTGTTTGCCCTCATGGCGGCGCTTTTCTTTACAGTAAATAGGACCAAATACAGGCACAATTACAAAAAAGTCACTGTATATTAGCTTTGTGTTATGGTGACATGATGGCCTGTAAAAAAAATTCCCGACATGAAGTGGAGAAGGCTTTTGTTGAGTCGCCGCTTGCCGGCAAAAGCCATGATTTGCTTCCCATCGCTTGTTGTAGCTGGAAGTCTTAATTCAGCTGTATTTAGTGCTTTTGATACTGTAGGTATACCTGATGCATATAAGGAGGGCTGTGATTGGATGACAGGTGTAACTTGATGGACATGATGAGTGCATGATTGGCAACTGCCTGTGTCAGATCTGATCTAGGATAAGTAACGTGTCCTCTAGTGATTAAAAGGAAATAACAACAATACAGTATATGGGACAGAGGGCGTCCCGCAGGAACAAACTAAATTAGTTGAAAATACGGGAAGTCCCGGCTAATACTGGACGTGGTTAATCCTTGCTATGACATTTAAAGGCTTAAAAAATATATATTTTCTTTATCCACAGAACAGAAGCTCTTCAGCTGAGTAATTGTGGCACATCTGTCTCATTACATTGAACTGCAAAACAGTGGAGAAGCAGCACAAAGCAAATGACTGTTCAGTGTTTACTATGCTGACTCATTTCAGTTTGCAAGGTGTCAGCCTATAAAAATGCATGGTAGCCTGTGATTAGTGGTTCAATTAAACATGTAATGCAGCAGATCATTTTATAATGACTAAACGTCTTAAAAAAATGGAGAACATCTCCAGTAATCTGTAATTTATATTATATTTATTTTAGTTATATTTTTTCACCATATGGCTTAATCCATGTTAAAAATAAATTCTGCTTTATAAAAGAAAACAGCCACAAAGTCAAGTGTCCTAGAAGAGATCAAACCAACCTGTCCCCTGCTGAACGACTCAAAGCACTGCTTGTTTTATTCTCAGTGTTTTCTGTGATTTGTAGTCCTATTTCACACTGAAAATGGGTGTATTATCTTGAGCCTTTAATCCGCAGACTGGCTGCTTCTAACACACAAATACGCTGCACAGTACACTGTTTTGGTCCAAACATTATTTCAATGGCTTTTTCTATGTGTTTTTAATCTATGTAAATCCACACATCTTTACTTCATTACAGTTTAAAAACCAAAAGCCGACTACCCGACTAGATGAGCAACAGATTGTGTGTTATTGGTAATGCTCTTAGATGGAGAGAGAGAGAGAGAGAGAGAGAGAGAGCGCGAGAGAATTCAGCAGAATCATTCATGACCTCCAGATAAGCGTAAATGATGCATGAAGCATGCTAAAAGGCGGTAGAGTCAGAGCTTAGAGGCTGTGTTTTTTTTTCTGAGTACTAAGCCTCTGCAGCTATTTTTCTCAAATTTCCTTCTTGCTTGTTCTCTGCAGGCAGCCATACGGAAGGAACTCAACGATTTCAAGAGCAACGAGATGGAAGTGCACGAGTCAAGTCGCCATTTAACCAGGTAACATGGAGTTTGAAGTCGTGCCGCTCTGTTGCCAGTTCATACCAAAGACCCGTGGTTCTTAAATTGGTGGGTCGGGACACAAAAGTGGGTTGCGGAGCAGTTTTCAGTTGGTCCCCAAAGAGTGCCTAGAAATAAATGATATCTTAGAAGCTCCACTGTTTGCAAAAAGTAGTTTGATTTTATGGAACCAGATGGTAAAATGGCCGTAGCTTCCTGTAATTGACGTGATGGAAGTAATCACCAGAGCAGCCTGTCAACCAAAATAGTTGTGATGGCCATAATAAAAAAAAAAAACTGAATGTTTTAAAGACAATGTTATGACATCACTCCTCTTTGATACACTCTGCTGTTCATACAAAGCTGGAGCTATTCACATGCTGCAGGTTTTGGCAGCTAGTTTTAGACGAGATGATGAGATGCGATGAAATGTTTCTGATACGATTCTATTCCTGTTCCATCTTTTAGGTTTCACAGACCATAGTAGACCATCACTGTCTGGAGCAGTGCCGGACCGATCCCACCGCTCCTCCACTGAGAACCTTAAGTGCTGGACAGTAAAAAATGGTGCCCGTTTCTACAATAAGGCCATGTCTTCTGAAATGCCTTTTATTTTTTTCCAAGACCCAAAACAACTTAGTCGGTACAAGACGCAGACGCCCACTACTCCATCGACGGAAGTAGCACATACTGACTCCAGTTGATTCACAATGCCCCTATTTTGGAACATCGCCCCTCGACTGTCTCGTCAAACCTCTCTGCTGAGCTCTGAATGCGGGCGCTCAGTTCTGTGGCTGTCAGACAGCAGTAGGGTTAGTTTTTGTTTTTTGCAATTGATTGACATTGTCAACATTTACTGAGGAAAGCTGTTGGCACATCATTAACACCAGAGGACGTGTCTCAGTGGACACGTTTTTATCCCCTCTTCCTTATAATGCTGTTACTCCAGACTCCTCTCGCCCGAATCTGCACTTGGATGCAGTGTTGACTGTTCTTAGCTCACTGATATCAGCAAAGGATCCGCCTCTACTGCACCTGCTGGGACTTAGGATACAGCTTCAAATATGGGGTCTAACATTAGAAACCGTGCAATATTGTTTTCCTCTGCTTTTTCCTAGGCTATAGCACCCCCTAGAGTCCCCTCTTCATCATTACTCTGTGTAGTCCTGACTTCTCCTCTTCCCTCATTATGTGCAATTCTCACTGTACCGACAATGTTGACATCTTAAATGCTTAACTGTGAATTTGAGAGTCTTGAGCTCTCTCCAAATGTACATTTTGTTTATAATAAGGAAGAAAGTTACTTTCAAAGATGAATCATGCTTGACAAAGTCACAATCTTATACATTTTAATGTAAAAAAAAAAAAATTGCAGCTGCCAGAGATATTCTGGTTCCAGTTTGTGCAACACTGATCATTTTTTATGATTTAGTTTTTGATAGAACCGCTTTGATCATTTATAATTGGTTTCATGATTTTAAATGTTCTAGCTCTTCGGTTTGTGAGATTTTTTTTTTGTTTTTAAACAAATGACCAAGAGCTGGCTCACCATGTTGTTATGTAATACATTTAATTGTGTTTCAGCGCTGCGTTGAATGATCTCTGCATTGTATTATACTTTACTTTTATACTCGTGACATTATAAGCTTTTCAACAAGCAATATCTGTTTTTTGTAGAGAAAACTACAGGTGTACTTCCCACCATTTTTTAACTGTGCTTACACTATACGACTCACTTCAGGGTTTTGATTTTCTTTTAGAATAGTCTTTTCTTTCCATGAGGACTTTTTCTTGACTGAGCCACCAAAATAATCTGCCTCTTTAACAGCTTACAGACTCATTCGACAACACCTGATTCAATCTAGAAATTATGACTGAACCTGATGATGAATTCTGACACAAGTACAGATTTTTGGTGAATTCACTGAGGTCAGGATTTTTTATTTTTTTTTTTTTTTGCAGAAATTCTTTGCACTGAGAAGAGTTTGGCTTTACAGTGGCCACTGTTTTAAGATCAGGGCCTATAGGTGTAAAATAATGTTGGATTTCTGAACTGTGACCACTTTGTTTTCTTCACTTTAAAGCTCTTGTCACCTGATCACTGATACTACACCAGTATTCCAATGCTCATAAGCTTTATGTACACAGAATATTTTCATTATTTTTTTACTGTTTTACTTTTAAAGTTGCAATATGAAATTCATGTTTGTCAGATGAGTAAAGGGAGTACAGGCGAAAGGCTGTCGGCCTCCTACTACAACATGTGTCTGCATTGAAAACAAGCTTTCCTTTATTTTCTAAGTCTCCATCTGTTACGGATAAATGAGAATATAGTACTTTTTTGTGCACTTAATAGTTTTTATGTGAAATATTTTGGATTATGTTTGGAGCACCTCCTCAAAATCAATGCACAGATTGATCCTTTATTTGAATCAGAAATTGATGGGGTGATCCTATCCTGGAGACTTTGAAAAAGATGAGGTTTCTTTGTGTAAGAACCAGATTTCTGTCTGATTCCAGCATCATGCCACCTAACTGAAATGTCCCATCTATATGTGCAGTAAAATAGTGTAATAGTAATACATTTAGACAAATCTGCTCCAGTTTTAATTTCAGCTCCGAGACATAAACCTGAGCCTCTGGTCTGAGCATGAGGTTTCCCCATTTTTGCTGGAATCAAGGAACATGAATTCAGCAATAATCGTTTTTCCCTTTTTCATGTTAGAGGAGCAGCTGAATGAATTTTGAAAGTGTTTCTTTTTTCATTTCTTTTTTTTTTTTTTTTCATTTTTGAAATACAGAGTACCGTGTACAGGAAACATCATGCCAATTAAATTCCATTTCTGAATGCAGTGCATTGTTTGAATGATATTTTATTTAAAAGAATCTCCACAATCCATGGCTTGTAATTTTACTTAATTTACTGTTTCTGTCATTTAGACATGAATGTTAGGTTTTTTGGCCAATATGAAGTTAAGCTTATACTATGATTCAGTGCTTTATTTCCCATTTAACTTATTTCCCTGTAAGGCCTAAAGGTAGCTTTTTCAGGAAGCGGAGGTGAAACACATGAGGCTCAGATATTGAGAGAATGAATGCAATAGTGTCGTTGCACTTGTATTACAGGAACAGATAGGGCCTTAAAGGGTAAACTGTGTGACACTGCAAATCAGTCTCACATTTTCATCTGCTCATTTATGAAGATGTAAAAAAATAAGTGATTTTAAAAAGTAAAAGAAGCACTAAAACACATGGTTCAATGTAATAAGATGACCAGGATGTTGTCTATAAACATATAAAGATTGTGGTTTTCAAGTCAGTCCTAAAAGATACACTGATGCATTTGTATGTTGATGGAACTTTTGCTTACTAGAATTAGAAGGGGATATTCAATTAATCCAAATTGGGGGACAAGGTGCCCTTGGCCCTATGGATATATTTGATTCTGATGTTTAAAGGCTTCGGCTGTATAATACTAAAGGTGTGTGTTATCACTATGTTAAAAAAACTCAAAAGATTAACCTTAAAAATGCCTTAAAGATTAGAACAATAGGCTATTAGCTTATTTAGGCCACTCAAATTACCAATTAATATCCTGACTCAGCATTATTTGTTGTAACCAAAAGAATCAATTTATGGAGCAAATTCTATTGGAATTTGGTGAAACGGATGCACTAATAGACATCGAGATACACCTCAACCCTACAGCTTACCTTATTTAGGTTGACTATTTTGTCCAAGTAGCATTATGTTAAATTAGCTAGCCTTTTACATTTAGCCTAGACCACTTGTAAGGATCAAGTTAAGTTAACACACTGGAACTTTTAATGAAAAATATGCTGGATGTAAAATCTGAAACATTTTGCACCACATCTGGCAGTCACAAAGGTCCATGCAACATTATCAAGGCCTACGCAGCCTTCCAGAGACAAAAGAAACACACAATATGTCAGAAATAAACTCGTTACAATGTTTGTTCTATGTTCCAAAACCATGTTGTTGTCCAAAACAGGTTAGGGATAAAGTGAGAGGGGTCTGTCTGCGGGCTGCCAGAGAGGGGCGGAACATGTAGCCTACCTGTCCGAATCTCAGCAGAGAACCACGATGGTTTTGCCGCCAAAAAAACCCGGAAGTTGTGGTCAAACGTTTGAAAGACACACAGACAAGTAAAAATATTTTCTTTAGACAACTAGTATTTTATTAAATATAAGCATTTAAGTCACTCATACAAGTAACACAGGATTATATCACAACCAGAGTTGATAAACTTTCTTTTAAAGCGAACAATGTTTATTTTATTTAAACAATAGGCTATTTATTTTATTCAACCACCAACTGTTACAATAGCAAAAGTTGTACACTTTGTAAAAAGCGTTAGTTTAAATAAGTATGATATATGACATTCAAATTACTGTAAGTATTCATAGAGAATTATGTCATCTTACTGAAATTATTTGGGTTTATTACACGCTTAGATTGCATAATTTTTGTATTTTTGATGAAATTTTGAGTATGAAAATGTTTTTTTTCTTATTTACTCTCAGCTCCATCCAACCATCTGCTTAGACGGGCTGCAGGGCTTCTTCTATACGCCTTGGAGGATACTACAGCTTTAATATGTCTGGAGGCACTTTCTGAGTCATATATCATAAATAAAAATGTTCTTAGTTCATTTGTTGAGTGAATTTAAATGAAAAGCGTTGCCTTTGTTTAATGTCTCAGAAAATGATTTAAGCCAGAAAGATTTGGAAAAGTCATGGACATGTATTTGAAATACCTGTGTATTAGACTATATGAGGGCTATGATCATTTAACATTTTGTAATAGGCTATAATTACATGTTTAGACAAATAGAAACTAAACAACATTCATTCGTAAATTTTACTTTCAGACGATAAAACATACTTCTATTTCTTTATGCTGTAATAAGTAAATAAACTTTATAATTTTACTGAATACAAAAGTTAAGACATAAGGCCTTTATTTTTTATATCAACCCCAAATAAATGTACATCATTGGTAACGTTAATGACATATGTAGGCTACTTAACTTTGTTCGTCAAAATAACTCAATAAAAATAGATGGCGAACTAAAGTTAACCAAGCCACACTGCCTTTGCAGGGTCACAGAAGATTGCAGTGGGCAGAACTTGTAGAAATTACAAGTGTGGGCGGAACATGTACCGATGACGTACTGGTGGGCTTGGATCAATAACATGGGTCTTGCAGACTGCAGACTGTTGGTTAAAGTCAAGGTTCTCTCCACTAGATGGCGAGAAATACTACAAAATAAAAGCGTGTGGACTTAGTCGGGCTATTCTGCCTTGTGAAATGGCGTCCTGATGAGATGGTGCTGAAGTTATTTGCCTAGTCACCACTAGTCTTAAAAAAAAAAAAACAGACCAACAGAGAGGATTAATTTTCCAGAGCAAAAAGTTTCTTGAGAAGACAGATTAAGGGAGCAATCCACAGTTGACTTTATTTATGGACCGTCCAGAGTTTCACTTATATCAACAGTTGACTATTAGACGGGCTGAGTGTGATCCAGCATTGCTTCACTATACGAAACCCACAGTTCAAAAGATTTTGAAACACTACAGCATAATGAGGTAACGCACTTCAGAAGCGGCAACACCGAACAATTTATAGGCGCTATGTTTACGCCTCTCATCTGTTCACCGCCTCACTTGACTGAACCGGAAGAAGGCGCAACACGGGAAATGAAGTCGTGACATATTTTCTTCCCCAAGCGGTGGGTACAGCGGAAGGCTGAGTGGCGGAATACACTTCCCGAGATGCAACGCGTTGTTGTTAGCGACCCCATCTTGTGTCCTCCTCATGAATATATAACAGTCGGTATTTGCGTAGGAGGTCGGCCGACGTTCATTTCATATTCCAGCACTGTGTTTCGCTCTAAATGGGACGCACAAGTCACGTCTCCGCCCTGATATGTCCCCGCGCGACGAGCCTCTTCCCTCTGAACTGAATCGGTAAAATGTTTTTTTTTTTTTTTTTTATACACTGGAGCAGCGGAGGAGACTCCGACGGGGAAAAGGAAGGCAAGAAGTGAATGACTACTAGTGGGATAAGTCGGCAACACCGCCCATTTGGCGGACATTTACCACGGTGGGCACGTATTCAGGCTTTTAAATGTAGATGTTGTAGGTGTAACCAAGTGCGCACCGTTATTTATTTAGTGTGGGGGACTTTTCATTGGCAGAGATGGAAAGTGTGCAGGCTGCTGCTGCTGCTGCTGCTGCTGCTGATGGCGCGTCGGATGGAGGCGCGACCAAGTTAATGAAGAAGCCCAGCGGACTGTCTGTCGCCCGGGGGACTCCAGAGGATGATGGCGGTGGACATTCGGCTCCCTCCCGCGTCGAGGCAAAGAACGGGAATAGCCTGTCTCATTCCGCCTCGACAACGGGCTCAAGTGCGTCAAACCGAACCGCGGCGTCTAATGGCCGGGGCTCGTCCAGCAACTCCAGCTCCCTCCTGTTGAGACGGAGGCGCTTGAAGAGGAATCTCTCCGCCGCCGCAGCTGCAGCCACCGCCGCCTCGGCTGTCACCGCCGCCTGCAGCGCGAAGATGAACTCGGCCCCGTCCTCTGCGTCTTTGCACACTCGGAGTCTGGATCGGAAAACTCTGCTCAAGCACCGGCAGAGCATGCAGCTGCAGCCCGCAGACCGCGAGTGGGTTCGAGCAGACCTCCACCGGGGCTCCGTGCACGTCCACGATAAACTCACGCCCTCATATCCCCGACCGGTTCTTTGCACTATGGACACCACAGCCGGCGAGGTGGCGCTCCGTCTCAGCAAACTCTGCAGCAAGTCGAGCTCCGTGATGCGCATTTTTTGTAAAGATAACCCCAAGACTGACCAAAATGGCAACTGCAACGTGAAGTATGAATATAACGATAACCACTGCAAAGTGAATGAAGGCTCCAGTATAAAATGCAACCACCTGAATCACCTGGAATCTTCGGATTTAAGGGGCCATCCGAGTGACAGGTTGAGGCTGCTGCTCATGGAGAATGCAGATGAGAGGCAAAAGCAACAGGACGTTGGTGGAAAACTTTTCAGCCCTGAATCAGAGTCACAAGACAACATTACCTGCTCTCTGTCAGATTTAAACTCTAACTCTAACATGGATACCCCCAATGATGATGACTCGGAGCACAGGAACGGCGTGGACAGCTATGGATTAAATTCTGGCTCGGATGTGGAGAGCAGTGCATTTGATGATCTGAGCTCTGGGGCCCGGCTCAGCGAGCACAGGGACTCCCTCAGCGACGACATGGTCCTAGGTACGGAGGCCTCCATCCTCAGCCCCTCATTTGATAGTGCCACAGAGGGCCACGACATGTATGGCAGCTCCTCAGACGAACTGGAGCTGGACTGTCCTGCCTCAAACACGAGCATGGACCCCATCTCCCAACATCACACAAATGGGATCACTGCTGTCACTGCCAACTACAAGCACTGCAACATAGAGCATATAAACAACATGACAAACAATATGGGGCCAGATAACAGACTCAACCCGCACAGTCTGGGCAACTTGCCACCCAGCAGTAGCGCAGGCTCATTGTCAAGAGCCTGTTCTACAGGTAATTCACCTGACATCCAAGATCCGGACTGTGGCCAGAGTGCTGTAAAATCAGGGCTGATAACCAATCACAATGGAGATTTCTGTGACTCCAGCCCCACGCTGTATGTTCAACTGCACGGTGAGGCTGTCAGGAGACTTAGCCCAGATGATAGGCCTCTGCAGATTCAGAATGACTTTCTATTTAAGCTTGGATTTAAGGACCCGTGGAGAGTTCAAGAGGAAGGGCTCAACACAGAAATTGGCTCCTTGTTACGTTTTTATGCAGGTAAGTTCAGTGATGCATTCAGATAGGATCACATTCTCACCTGATGAGGTTTCTACTTACTCTTTGACTTGTTTTAGGCCCACTTTTTGTTTGTCTCATTGCTGGCAGTGTTTGTTACAGGTTGTCAACCTGTATCACAAAATGAGGCAGGTGCATTCATGCAGAGCTGTGACATTGTAATACAAGAGCCAAGCAGCAATTTATTTCCTCTTTTGCTGAGACAGTATATCATTTTTGCAGGTGGGTGGTTTCTGAATTTGAACACCGGTCATTGCAAACAGTTAGCAGCCCAGATTTCTGCGTTTTAATTTTGTGTTGGACTGAATAGATGAGGTCAAGATGTTACTGATATTATTGCGGCACACGTCAGGCAACGCTAAGTGCAGAGGATGACCTTTGCTGGGTCATGCAGCAACAGCAGCAGCAACAATTTAGGTAGTGTGTTAACCTAAACCTTGTTTCCTAGTGATGATTCACCATGTTCAGGTTTAACTGTGTAATGGCATGATTGGTTCAGAGTGAGGTCATGGTCGAAAGGTTCCCGCTTTGCCAGATCTACCTGGCCTCAGGGACCTTTCATTTCCAGCTTCTTCTGTCCTGGGCTGACTTTGTTGGACCGCAGCAGCGCACTACACTCCCATGGACATGCATGACATCGTCACAAAGACATCTCCACAACTTATGGTGCACAGACATGGGGGCCCTTTTCCGGCTTTTGCCCCATTATCATCCTAATGAAAAGGCTGAATGCCTTTGTGGTTGGATCGAGAGTAGGGCGGGGGGGGGGGAGAAGTATGGCTGGGAGGACCTTAAACCCTCTCTGTGGACCCAGTGAGTTCTGGTCATTGAGATGCTGCACAGTGCCTGTCCTATTGGCATCTAGCACGGCTACTGTCACACTAACTAAATGCCTGCCAAGTTGGGTTAACGTGCTCCTCTAAAGCGCAGGAAGCCCTTTTCTTCACGCCACTGCCTCCATCACTAGTACGCTATTGCTGTCGCAGCTGAGGGAAATGAATTGAGATGAGGAGAGGGAGGGGGCTGGTCAGAGTGTCTGCTTAGGATAGTTGAGGATAAACTGTTTGTTGGGTTTGAGCAAGACTAGAGAGGCACTAATACTCTCCAGCTTCCTGTCCTAAGAGGCTGTTGAACCAGAGGTCACTCAATACCGAGCTGAAAATGGCCACATGTACTCCGGCTCACGTTTACAGTCACATGCGCTCCATGACCTATTGTGCTCTTGAATCCTGGCTCGCTTGAGGTGGAATGATTTCATTCAGATAGCATCATTTGGCAGGCTGTACGAGCATGCACACTGGGGCTCATGCGGATGGATGTTCATGTAGCTGAGCGAGGCTGTGCAGTCAGCTGAGCTTGACCAGCAGCCACTAAAGACTGCTAAAGTTACCCTGAAGCCTCTCAGAGGGTGACGCCTTCACATCCCATGTGAGACAGCTTAACATTGGTCACCTGAGCGCTCTCTCCACCCAGTTCCCTCCCTCCCGTCACACAGCCAATAACACCACTCAACACTTAGCCTGCACAGAGGGCCTAATTCTCATTCAGTCCGACAGAGAAAGGCACTGAAGAGCACTTTCATACAATCACACAGAAGCATTCACT